GATCAGGGGACAGGGAGCAGGGGGGTTGGATGAGTTGGGGTTTCTGTGGGGGGCAGTCGGAGGGAGTGGATGGGGGCAGGGTGGGGCTACCCTCCCTCCCCGTGGAGTGTCCTATTTTTTGAATGTTAAAATATGGTATCCCTACTCACAGGGTTAGCTCTCCATTCACTGCAGGCTGCAGCATGAGGTCTCAGCTACCTCACTCCCTCCCCCTCTTTCCTGCTGGTAGTGGCCAAGGGAATGCTGGGAAATGTAGTTCTTTCCCTGCTCCAGGGCTGGCTCTATAGGCAGGGAGCTAACCAAGGAACTACAGCTCCCAGGGCCCCCTGTTGGTTCTCAGCTCCCATGCTGGATCCCTGCCGCCCCTGCAAATGGGCTGCCCCAAGCATGTGCTTGCTTTGCTGGTGCCTAGAGCTGCCCCTGGACACATCATAATGCAGGGTGGTTTCGCTGATGCTGCATCATAAAGCAACATTATGGTGTGGTATTGTAACAGGATGAGTTTTCTATATGGCATGATAACACTTTCACTGAATGTGGTGTGGCGTAATTGGATGAAGCTTTAGCACCACATGATATCATTGCAACATGATGTCATGGAGCCGTCATAGCATGATGATATCTTGGTAGAGCTGGGAGAAAATTTCCCATCAATACCTGTTTTTTTAATGCAAAGTGACTTTTTTGACAAAATGGTAAGTTTTGCAGAAAATGTTGATTTTTGTTAATATTTTTCAGGCTATCATCAAAAACCCCTAAAGTAAACAATTTTTTGTTTTTGGTTGCCAAAATTTGAAAAAAAATGTTTGGGGGTTTTCAGATAAACATAAGAACATGAGAACGGCCATACTGGGTCAGACCAAAGGTCCATCTAGCCCAGTATCCTGTCTTTCAACAGTGGCCAATGACAGGTATCCCAGAGGGAACGAACACAACAGGTAATTATCAAGTGATCCATCCCTTGTCACCCATTCCCAGCTTCTGGCAAACAGAGGCTAGGGACACCATCCCTCCCCACCCTAATAGCCGTTGATGGACCTATCCTCCATGAATTTATCTAGGTTTTTTTTTAACCCTGTTATAGTCTTGGCCTTCACAACATCCTGTGTCAAGACATTCCACAGGTTGACTGTACGGTTTGTGAAGAAATCCTTCCTTTTGTTTGTTTCAAACCTGCTGCCTATTAATTTTGTTTGGTAACCCCTAGTTCTTGTATTATGAGAAGGAGTAAATAACACTTCCTTATTTACTTTCTCCACATCAGCCATGATTTTATAGACCTCTATCATATCCCTCTTTAGTCTTCCCTTTTCCAAGCTGAAAAGTCCCAGACTTATTAATCGCTCCTCATACGGAAGACTTTCCATACTCCCAATCATTTTTGTTGCCCTTTTCTGAACCTTTTCTGATTCCACTATATCTTTTTTGAGATGGGGCAACCACATCTGCATATAGTATTCAAGGTGTGGGCATACCATAGATTTATATAGAGGCAATATGATATTTTCTGTCTTATTATCTATCCCTTTCTTAATGATTCCCAACATTCTGTTTGCTTTTCTGACTGCTGCTTCACATTGAGTGGATGTTTTCAGAGAACTCTCCACAATGATTCCAAGATCTCTTTCTTGAGTGGTAACAGCTAATTTAGACACCATCATTTTATGTGTATAGTTGGGATTATGTTTTCCAATGCGTATTACTTTGCATTTATCAGCATTGAAGTTCATCTGCCATTTTACCTGCATCTGAAGAAAGTGGGTTTTTACCCACGAAAGCTTATGCCCAAATAAATCTGTTAGTCTTTAAAGTGCCACCTGACTCCTCGTTGTTTTTATCTGCCATTTTGTTGCCCAGTCACCCAGTTTTGTGATAGCCTTGTGTAGCTCTTTGTAGTCTGCTTGCGACTTAGTTATCTTGAGTAGTTTTGTATCATCTGCATAAAACTTGAAACATTTAATCACAAACAAAAGAACTGTCATTTTCATTAAAATATTTCAGGGGGGGGGAAATAATTTTCCTACCAGGTCTCTATTTTAGCTTACTGTCATGTCAGACAACGTAATAGAAACACAAGCTGGTCATCAAGACAGATATGATTTTACTGTTGAATGATAAATGCTGATATCATCATAGAATTATCACCTACTGAGATTTTGGTCTCTTTGCTCAATTCATCACTTTCCAGATGAGCTCTGTGTTAACTGGGGCCTGGTGCATTCCACAGTATCAATTGGTGCTAAATTTGTATCTGCCTGATAGAAGCAGATCATCACAACTAATGGGTCTCAAACCTGAGCCTGTAAGGCTCATGGGAGAAGCCGTGCTCTAATCTTCCACCTGGCAAAATGCTAACAAGAGCTTACCTGGGACCCACGAAGCCCAGCCCCAGTGAGAGGCCCAGTCCCCCTAAGCGCTGATTGTCAGAGTCCAGAGCAGCTGATTGGCCTGCTGGCCCTACTTAAGCCAGCAGCAAGAATAGGAAACTGCCGGAATATCTGTTCTCCATTCTGTTGCTACCCAAGCTTGATTTGGTGGCATCCTGATCTGGCTTCACTTCTGGCCTCTGACTTGTGCTTCCCAATCTCCAGTTTGTCTCCTGCCTCTGTCCCCCTGGTATCCTGACACTGGTTCCCACCTTGTGATTCTGAGCTCCAGCTTATCTTCTGTTTCTGACTTCCCAGTATCCTCATGCAGCTGACTTTTGGCTCCTGTCTCTGGACTCTGATTACCGGGTTGGCCACCCATGAGCCAGCTGTGATGCAGAGTGGGGCTGTGCTGCTCAAAATGACCCAGAGCCAGTTGGAGATGCTGAATCCTGACCACATGGACAAAGAGGAAAAACAACAGACTCCTCCCCCCTGCCTTAACAATGTGGATGATAAAAAGGGTCCACAGAGCTCCCAGTCACAGGGTGGAAATAGATACCCTTAGCATTGACATCGAGGCCTCTTCTGTGCCTCCAGGGTGACAGAACCTTCCTTGTCTCAGAAACCTACAAACATTATATAGAGCTTACTCTGCAATAGCTATCCTGGTCAATTTCTCCTTGTAAATAAGCCCTCAGCTCTAGAACTTGCTTCCCATCTGATCTGGGAAAACTCAGCTTTATTGACTTTCTGGGCAGATTTACTCATGCCTTTGCTTGAAGATGGTGTTTTGAATCAGAGTTTTTATATGCTGGCGGGAGGGAGTTTTTCCATATTGACTTTTTGCCAATGTTGGGTTTTGTTAATTGGTGATTCATATTGATTATGCTGTACACACACATTGCAGAGATTACAGTGGGGCTGAAATCAATAGGTCCTGCCTCTTGATTCCTGATGTCTGCAACAATC